TTAAATCCCACTGAAGTCAGTGGGACTTATTTTTGTATTGCGCACTGTGTAAATCTTCAAACCTCAACCAGCATGACCAATGGTCAGGGATTATGGAATCAGTAGCCCAAAAGATCAGGAAAGTATCAAGTTGCTTACCTCTGCTTAATTTACTTGAGATGACTTTAACTGGGTTATGAACTTAAGATGAGGTTGCAACTTTAAGCTCTTAAACTTCATTTTTCTTACCCTAATCACAGAGCTGCTCATAAAGAAAGAGAGTAGACACCCAAGCCTGCACTCAGCCATAGTTTACATGGCCATAAATTGCATTTAATCCAGTGCTACAATGTTAACATGCATAAACAAGCATGCATAGGATTGAACTGTCTACAAAAGAACTTTCGTGAGTATTTGACATGATCCAAAAAGAGTAGGCACTTGCCTGGAATACTGCACAGGTGTCTTTATTAGAGAGATATTGCTGAAATTATCAGGAACTGCAGTCTTGCCGTTACCTACTCCACTTACGTATTGATACTTTGACATGGCTTACATTTTAAAAAGTGCATGCTTAGATTCATCTCTTAAATCTGTTTTTCCTTGCAGTGCTCAGCAACCTGTGGAGGTGGCATGCAAGTGCGGTCTGTTGAGTGTTTAGCAAATGGACGGTCAGCCACAGGATGTCTCTTGCATCAGAAGCCCATTGCCTCACAAGCTTGTAATACCAATTTCTGTCCCCTTCCTGAAAAAAAAGGTATATTTTCTTTTTTCTTTTTTTCCAGATTTGTACCTTTCCCTTTAACGTTTTTAATCCAAGGATGCTACGTAAACAGACTAGCTGATATTAGGGCTATTGTATGTATTCAGCTAGAGGCATTTAACTGAGACAGCACCCCTTTGGATCTTAAAACTTAATTCCAGCCAAGGCAGGCACAACATACACACACATTTTGATTTCATTCACTCATGTTGTGCTAATGCATAGAGCAGAGAGCACCTCTCCTTCATGCTGAGCAGAAGAAGAAAATCTGTCCAACTTCTGGATGGTTGAAAGCTTCATCTCTCCCTAGATAATGTGGCTTCTCCTCTGCTATTTAACATGGAGGCCCCCAGAACTGAACTCTGCCAAGGTGTGGTGGCCATCCTTGGAGCATCAGCCTGCCTGCCTGTGAAGGAGTACTTTAGAAAGCCTAAATCCACTAACAGTCAGATGAATTCATGGATTCCTTGGGGCTCCTGTAGTCATGCCTTGTGAGGCAGAATGACTTAGGACTGCCAGCTGTGAAGGAGATGTTCACAAGAAGGAACTGCACAACTCAGGAGTTGTGTTGAGGACCTTTAGCTCAGTGCAAGTGGTGAAGTGGGGATAGCTTTCAAACAATAAAGGTCAAGATGATCCATAATGTGACTGCCTTAAAACAAGAAAAATGAGTTGAGCACTTTGTCTCTTAGAATTTCAGAATTTGCCTTATGGGTGAGGATTTACATGCAGTGTGGAACCGGACCACACACAGAGGATTTACATGCAGTGTGGAACCAGCCCACACACAGAACATTCCTCTGGTGGTCAGAGGAAAGATGAGAGGAGATATGATCAAATCCTCCACTGTCCCCGGTACAAAAGGAGATGAAGGGTCATGAGCACGGAACATACATACATCCTGGATGCACACATGCATGTATACTGCATGAATGTGTAGACCAAATCAAGCCATCTTGTGAATTCTGTCAAAATGAAAACGTTCTGAGTTTTGGTTTCCTTAATGTTTTCTGCAGCAGCACAATTTGGAATGCAAAGAAAGTGTATTTTGAGACTGGAGAAGTACACATACTAATCAGAATCCTCTTTAGTTCTGTGTCCATCATTCCAACTCCACCCACAGACAATGAATCAATGTACTGAGAAGTGAATCTAATGAGGATTTAGTAGTTTGCTTTGACCAGTCCCCCATGCTTTGGGTTCTTCCATCCTATTTTTTAAAGTCTTGTATGACTTTATTCAATTAAATGTACATTTAAAAATAAATATGGAAAGTCAATTTTTTAAATGTTAGGAAAAGAGAGAGAAGGAGTGAGTTAGTGACCTACTGGTTCCACAGCAATCAGTGCTGTATTCAGCAACTTCTCTGAAAAATATGTGAGAAGACTGCATATTTGACCAACACAAAGTGTGTGTGCTCATTAAGAAAATTATTTTTATGTCTTTCAAACAATATAAATACTATAATAGTGTCTAAACTATTTTTTTTTATTTTTTCCCCAGATGCCTTCTGTAAGGATTATTTTTATTGGTGCCACTTGGTTCCCCAGCATGGTGTTTGCAATCATAGTTTCTATGGAAAACAGTGCTGCAAGTCTTGCATAAATTCAAATTTGTGAGAATTGGTCTAAAATACAAAGAGTGCAAAATGAGCTGTGTCTCCTAACTTGGGGCTGTGCCAAGTAAACAAAGGAGTCTCAAGAGTGATTACAGTTTTCTCTGAGACTTAATTCTTCATTAATCAATGAGCCCAAATACAACTACTACTCAGATAGGTGTGGTGCCTCAAATGTCCTTTTCAGTATTCTGATGTGACCCACTGAGCTGTTTTCAGGTGAATGTCCTGTTCTTTTGATTTGTGGACAGAAACGGCTCTTGAGGAACATGCTTTTACCCCTAAACTGTGAGTATCTCAAGGGGAAAGTTGATCCTTAGGGATGCCACTGAAGAATTGCCTGGAAGAGGAACATCTGCAAAAAGCAGCAGAGTTATTAATTTTTCTTTTTACCTCAGTTATCATTGCTAAATAACAATTTTGGCATTTTCTACTAGGAAGATTTCTGGTGTGAATACCCTTGAAATCACTGGGATTAGAAAAAGAGGACTGGTGCATGGGAGCATTTGTTGTCCACCATGGATTGTGCCCAAAATATTTATTGCATTTTACTGATATTCTTGTCCAGTTCCCAGTCATTTCATGGGACTGCTTGCAGGAGATGAAGTCCTCTCTGGCTTAGTGCTGCTCTCCTGCAGCTACATGCCAGTGACAGAATCTGTGAACACCCTGTGGAAATGAATACTGTAACTGATTACAGCAATTGAAATGTACTTGAGGCGCTTTTGTCAATAAATAAACCTAAACTGCTTCAGATAGAGGTGTAACTTTTAACATATATTGGGGAAGAAGGGAGACAAAAACTTCAGGGTGCCCTTTGTCTTTTTCAACATCTGGAAGGTAATAAAACCTCTTTTTATTTGTTGTTTTCATATGATCAATCTTATTTAAATGTCCTTATTTTATGCTTTACTATTAAGTATAAAAGGTGTTCTGCCATCAGTGTTAATCAAGTGGTTGATTATACCAAAACTATGTTGTTTGCATTTAAACATAAGGTACTACCATGTTAGATTCCAGCACTATAGTAGCATAATAACCCTATGAAATGTTTTTCTTTTTTTCATTGTTTCTGCATTGTAATTGTTATTCAGAGCAAACAGAAAATGTTTTGCAAACTTCAAAGCAGCATTGAATGCTTTCATTGGCTGGAATTTGGTTCCAATTAGAGTAGAACCACTGAATCTGTTCTTGAATGGTGAATCAACCTTTAGGGAAAACCCACTGTGACTAATAACAGGATTTCAGTCATTAGACAATATGTATGTTCTGCAGTTGTACAAAAGCTTAGAATTGTACAAAAGCTTAGAACGGGGCCATGCGGGGGTTTGCCATGGGGGGACACCCCTTTGTATTCCCCTCCATTTGTCCCTTGTGCATAAGTGAAGGATGCAGATCTGTGAAAATGGAGGGGTGACTGTGTAGCATTAAACATGAAATGCTGATTCCTGAGAATTTCAACTTTCATTCAACAAAATAAGGGCCAGAACAGACAGCCCTTAAAAAACACCCTCAGTGTGTCATCAGAACATGGTGTTTATATGCCGCAAACTCTGATCACATCGTGAAGCTGGCCAGAAGCCGGGCAGCCACCCAGACATGGACAGCTTCAAGATGCTTTGGTGGCACAGCATTTAGATGCTGCATGCCACCAGAGCATCTTGAAGCCACCATGGGACTGCAGCACAGACATTAAAGGCAGCTTTTCCACAGCCCAAAAAGAAGCAGATCTTTGCCATTCCTTTTTGGGATGGCTTCAAGGTGGATTGGGGTCGCAACGTGTGGTTGCCACAGCCACAATCCATCTTGTTGCCGGTCTGTTTTGCCCCTCAGTTTCTAGCCCTTATATCTGTAAAATACCCTTAAATATATATGGGCTTTTCTTGCCCACAGTCTCAAATACCAGAGCAATAGATGTAAGGTATTATCAGACTTTGGTTCTTTTCATGGTCCTTACTCCACACAATTAACAAAAACAAATGCATTTTGCAAGTTTGTATTTTTTGCAAAAGTTATATGAGTCATAATATTGGGGAGGTTAATGCAGAATTTTCTACTTTTGTTTTCTCTGAGTGTGAATCACCCTGACTAAAAATGTGTATTACAGTTTGCACATTGGTGCTTCCTTAAGATTTTTGGTGCTGCCATTTCAAATGGGAATCTTGACTATTTATATTATCTGAAACTTAATAAATTTTTATTTGTTTCTGTAATGTGTTATTTATTTACTTGGTAATGTTCAAAGCTAACTTGAAAATACATATTTCATAATATTCTGATGTTAATACTTGGTTGTCTGTTTTTATTTTATCCATTTCTTGTCACATGTATTACAAACATGTTTTAACTCATGTTTTGAAGAGCATTCAGTAAGAAGATAGGTTGACAGAAACATTTTATAGATTCTTTTGCCATGTCCCACGAGTAAAGCAAACATTATGAGAAGCATTATATATAAAGCAAGTTTTCTGGGAATTTAATAAGTGAAATTTCCTCTTCTCAAGCTTCACTTGATCATTTGTACATCTGAATAATTTTTTTTCTGGGTGGCTGGACTTTTCTCATGTTATCTGTTTAGACAAGTTCTTCCTTTGTATGTGCACATGCCTGTTAAATAGGAAGATCTAGCTCTTAGAGAAGAATGCCAGTGTGGCATAGTGGTTTGAGCCCTGGACTATGACTTGAGATCAGGGTTCGAATCCCCACTCAGCCACAGGTGACATTGGGCAAGTCATGTTCTCTCAGCCTCAGAGGAAGGCAAAGGCAAACCCCCTCTCAACAAATCTTGCCAAGAAAACCTTATGATAGGTTCACCTTAGGGTCACCATAGGTTGGAAGATCTTGAAGGCACCCAGCAGGCACAGACATGCACATATTTTTGTTTGTGGTTTTGTTACTGTATAACTGCAAAACTGATCAGTTTGTGTTCTAACAGTTGATTATGCTGGTGTATATTCTCTATAATGTCCATAGCTGAAATGCTCAGCATCATCCAGATATTCCTCAGTGTAGCTCTTTCTCCCTCCCCTGGTTGTTGATAGGCTACAGATTGTGGCTGTTCTTGAGGACTTAGGGAAAAAGATAGCTGCTTAGGTGTGCTAGACAGACAGACCATACCCAGAGACACCATTGAAGTGCTTTATTTAGCAGTGGCAAATAAGTAACCAGGTAAGTGCACCTATAGTCTATGGAACAGATGGGGGAAACAGGCCAGTTCCAGGTCATACACAGGGTTTAGTCAAAGCAGAAGCATTCAAGGTCCAAACATGCAATGCAGTCCTGAAAAGATCCAAAGCTGATAATGGAGTTAATAGAAACAGTAATTCAAGATATACACTGAAGTCCAGAGATCCACAAAGCAAGACACAACAGATAAAGTCAGTAGGGAGTGTTAGAGTTGATTGTTTGTAGCAACAGAATGTCTTTGGATGAGTTAATTTATAGGTAAGGAACTGAAAGTATATACTCAAGCAGCAAACAAAGAGGAGACAAGCTGCACATGCTTGAAGATGGCCAACTGTTTATTAGTGTTTAAAAAGCTAAAAGCATTTCATCCACACTAGGCCTTCCTCAGGGGCCTTCAAAAGAATTCACTGGAGTTG